GAGAGAGAGAGAGAGACGTCTTACCGAGAGAATGCCTTTCTTCAGGGATTTTTCGGTGAGGCTTTTTCTCCGGGCGGGTGGATCGTCGCTCCTAGCTTTTAGGACGAAACCCCCCCGACTATCGTCCACGCGTCGATCCCTCCTGTCGGTGGGTTCCGGCGTCGGGGCGACCGCTGGTCCTCCGTCGGCGCTTCTTAACGACGTCAGGGATGCTCTCACTTGTTTCGCTGGTTTGTAATGGCTCGCCAAGCCAAATGGCGCGCTCGCCCTCACCCCGTATCCATGCCGCATGCCGCGGAGCCATTGGCCTTGATAAGTACCTACAAAATCAACCATGTAACTTAACAGAAATAGAAATAGGAGGTGGAAGCGGGTCGTTTTCGATCGGCGAATTACACGCCACCCTGTCCATTAAGGTTGATGAAATTTTCTTTTTGGGAGCTACGTATGTAAATCTTTTTTTTTTTTTCACACGGCTCAATACACTTTATTAATTCAGGAAAGTTTTGTCTTTTTTTCGTTAAATTCTATATTAAATAATTTAAAAAAATTAATCTCTAAAAAATGATTAGAAATATTTATTTTTCTAATATTTTATTAAAGTTAGCGATAACAATTTTGCTTTGATTTTGCGATAACTCCTTTTTGAACTTTTATTTGATAGATGTGACAGATTTTTCGCGAGGTCGCGAATAATATTCTCGTAATATTACAATAATATGCTCGTTGAGATCAAATCGTGTGGTAATGAAAATATTTTTTAGACATTTTTTTTAAAATAGAGCGGGAACGCGAAAAATGTGAGAAATTCATCGGCGCGTCAGAAATCGGAAGTGGCACGTCATTCAGTTACGACGAATCCCCGGGGTTGCCTCCACCCCGGCAATAAGACATATTGTTTTTGCCAAAACGTGACCGTGTTTCAAAATGTTTCGCGTGAGTCATAACGTACGTGGCGAACGATTACGCGCGCTCCGTTCAGGGATGGAATGCGTCCAGTGCATGTGCATGTGCATGTGAATGCGTGCTTTTTCGGAGAACGTGCGAATTCCGAATCGATGAAAAAAAGCCGAGGGACCGGATGTGAACCCGGCATGAAAGACGCAGCGCGACAGCGAGGAAAAAACGCGCAATTCTTTCACGCAAATTTACGTCGCACGTCGCGTTAACACGGCTTACATATGCAGAGTTTGTATTTTTAATAAGCGTCGATATTACACACTACTATTACATGTTATCGCCATCTTTTAATTCATCAGGTCGTATCAACAGCACGCAACCGAGTTATTCTAGCGACTTATTGTAGCGCGGAACGTTTCCTTCGAAAGAACATTATTCCAGTTCGCGTTGAATAGCTTGCGTCCTGGACAAGGTATTGCGGTCGCAGCGAAAAGTTTCGGTCGACGAGGTTGGTTTGATTGGCATGCAAACCAAGTCTGCTTGTGTGCCTCGTGAGAACGCGTCGACGTTTCGGTTGCATTGAAGCGGGATGCATCACGCTTTTCTTCTGAGTTCTCTGACACAGTTCAGCCATGAATACATACAAGGTGTCCCGTCAAGGTGTCGTCATTCACGTTAACGGATCCCTTGAATTTTCATCATTACATCGTTTCATTTTATACATGATACAATAAAAAAAAAACCATTAAATTTTTTTCAATATTTTATCTAACGCGATTCTCTTGATGTCGATTGATTTTAAATTAATAATCAAATTTATATATTAAATAAAATAATCAAATTTATATATTAAAAATTATATATTAAATTATATATTAGATTATATATTAAAAAATTATTTAAATACATTGTAAACACCGAAGTACAAAGCGATATTAATAGGGATGGCGGACATTTTTTCATTGCTGTTAAAATTGACAAGGTTAGCAAGTCAAGTTAATATCGAAAATTAGAGTTTTCCTCGGACGAGGGTCTTCTGTCAAATTCTTGTTTCGCAAAATTGCACGCGAATTCGATTCGTCAAGGAATCTGTCATTAGCAGGCATACAGCGACGTCAATGGGATACCCTATATATGGCGACGCCAGGCGTCTCCCCTCTTCGCGACGACGGAATATTATTTCACTAGCGTTTAAGCAAGTGGGTCACGTCGCGGTTCCCGGCGTTCACACAAGAAAAGCCCAATGTACACGAACCCTCGAAATTGCCGTCGCGGCGACGACGGTGCCAGCCTGAATGCATACCGCACGTTTCCAATTAATTTTTAGGCACGGCCGCGAGCCGTGCGCCATTGTGAAAAACGCGCGGATGCTTGTAAACGTGTGTAAACACTCAAACATTACGCTTGTTGTAAACGTGTGTAAATACTCAAACATTACGCTCGTCGGCTATTCACGACGGTAAAATCTTTTTGTTATTATGAGCACTACCCCGTCGTGCTGACTCGAGTGTCGAGGTGATGAGTTTTTACTCGGTGATTTTCTCAGGAAGATTCGGACGCCATTACTATATTTTTATCGCGTGAAGGAGATCATCAATCGAGAAAGTTATTTCTTCATTTTCCTAAAGACTTATTGTATAAAAGTTTCTCAATTACTTTTTCTCTCTCTATCCTTTTCAATTTTCTCTATTCCGCGAGATAAGCGCGATGAGCGTATAAATAGATTTTATATTTTCATACATCTTTCCGATTTTTAGTTTTAGATTTTAATATGTCTTTATTTATTTATGACTTGATAGTTTTTACATCGTCATCATCCTCTTCGAGAGCCCTCGAAAGTTTGCGCTGGTACAATTGGAAGCGCTTCTCCCTCCTTCTCTTTCTCTCTTTTTCTTCACTCGAAAGATTTATGATTTTAAGTTCGCCGTACAAATCTGTGGATCGATTTAGGAGAGACATCAACTACTTTGTGCAGACCGTTCGCGTTATCGAGGTCAGTTCTGGTTGTCTGCCGCGTGGAGACAGTCTAGCACGAAAAGTCTCGTAGTTTCGGGGTCTTAACAAATTTCGAGCAAATGTCAAGACGCCGGCAAAGTCCGACGGGACGTTAATCGGATAGCGCTATGTAAGTAAGTATCGCAGAAAACTGGATCGCGCCATAATGTATCGATTCGCCGGCAACGACCTAGATTAATTATTATCAGGCTTCTAATTCTCACCGTGTTAATTTCTGCCGTGACTTTCGACGGCGTTCTCATTAAAATTCGTTTAATAAGCGAGCAGTTTTGTTAAGTTAACTTTTGCACAAATTATCCCCCAGCGATGCGGATCGACAAAGTTCTCTGCAACCGTGCGAATCAATTATCAGCAACGAAGATTCCTCCTTTTCGATACTTGATTATCTAACAATATCCATTCATCGTATATTTTCGCATAGTTCTGCAAATTGCATTTAGCTAAGTATTCTCTCTTTTTTTTTTTTGCTATTTATTACGCTTATTGCGGCGCGTGTGGGACGATCGATAGTCTCCACAAATTTCATTTCCCGGTAGACTACTGGTAACGCAAGTCGAGTTTAACATAGAACAAGTTTAACACGGGAACGGAGAGTCATCCTGGCGTATATCTGTCATGTAGAAAGCAACGAAACGGGCGGCTTTAATCTAATCGGAACGCGGTTTTTGCCCATCGATATCCATCGTAAAAATTAATCGTCGGCCAATCTGGTGTTTCGATCAACAACACAAATATATCGGCAGCGCTGCGGTTGGCCATCGTCCGTCGACGAGTTCGCTCTCCTTTCAAAATTCGAAGAGAAGAGTCCTATGGATGATCGGACTTTACTGGCGGATTAGAAGATCGAGGTGGAATGATCGTGGGTGCAATCTGGTAGGGCGAACCAAACGTTCCGTACGGTCCTGATTCACTACATGGCACTGGCTAGCCTGCCTGAAATAGCACGGCCATCTTCCGAGATGGTGGTTGGTTGCACGTGCATCGTAACGCATCTCGGTGTTGGTGAGAATTGGCCGTGCGAGCGTATTTCGGTCCGCAGCCTCCATCAGATCGTCGCAAACCACCCTAACGGGTCTGTCGGACTGTCCCGACTTTTAGTTGCGTCCTCCCTCTATCCCGGGAGGATAGCAACAATTCTGGGAAGTGTACGTCCTTAAAAATAATGAAAAGGAAAAGAAAATACGGGGCGACATTTCTATTTATAATTCATCAGTTTTTGTAATGCCCCGTACAAGTGGAGTTTGCAAAGACCCTTCTGTCCCGCGACTCTTTTAGAATTTAACAAATTCAGTTTTTCTTTAGGATTTAACGATTTCAGTTTTTTTTAACTTGGGAAAAATTTTTTTATAAAAATAAGAATTAACATCAAACTTTTTCTTTCTTTATTTTCTTTTTCTTTTTTTTTTTTTTGTTCGTATTTGTATTCAGCTGAATGAGGTGCATCAAAAGATGTCAGTGCAGTGCAGTTTCACCCAGCCGTTTATAGCATAATTCGGATAATATTTATTTGTTTCGAGAAACAACAAAATTATTTCTTTTTTTTATTGATACAATATTCGTTACGTCCTATTGCGGTTTCGATCCAAGCGCCACGCGTGTTACATGTACGATTACATAGCTGTGCATCGGGTTGCCAAGCGTCGTCGTCGTTGCGAGTAGAAAGAAGTGGCATACTTTTTCTTCGTCACGCGCACACTGGCCACTCAAAAGTTTTACCGAAATATCTACTATCACGAGCGAGCGAAAAATAAAATCTTTTAAAATAAAACCTTATAAACCTCGGGTCGCAAATAATAAAGCTCTTGATAAAATTTTCGTTTTGCAATTAAGAATTAATCGCGTGTAACTATCCAGACAGATTTGCTCTTTTCGCCGAGGTCTATCTTTAGGGAGCTCTCAATTACTCCATCCGTGATCCATTGTTATTGTCTTTGGATTCACGGCTGTCCTTGGCACTAATTAAACGCAGTTTAAAATTTGCAGCGGCCGTATTTTTTTTTTTTTTTTCGTCACGCAACCAGCGGTGGCGGATTCTCGTGTGACGTAAGGCGTGTGACGCCAGGAAAAATCAGGAATAACAGCCGAGCCGTATAAAGTGGGTAAAAGCGGCTCATCAAGGTAACCCACGCCGATATAATATTAACAGCTTCATATCCCATATACAGTCGCTATTTGCATAAAGGGTTGCGGCACGCTCGTACCGCTCGCTAGGGCAAAAAAGTAGATTACGCGGCCTTCCGTTACAGACGCGCGCGCGCAAATTGTTCAACTCTCTCTGCCACCCTCCTTTCTCTCTCTTTCTCTCTCTCTCTCTCTTTCTCCCTCCCCTTGATTTCGCTGTTTTTTATACGACGCAGAACGAGACGTCGTTCCCGTTTACACGACATACGTGCATATACGACGA